CCACCTAGCAGGAGCCCATGCCTCCCATGAACCAGGGAGACAGAGCTCAGCATCCACCCAGCCTGAGCAAGGCCCTCACACTGCCACGGAGGCCAGCGTTCTGCTCCCACTGGTGTGGGAAGAGTCAGGAAACAGGCTGCCATCTTCCTTAGGGCTGGGGTGCGGGGACAGCAGGAGAAGGCTGGCTGCTGGAGCTGCCAGTGTGCCTGAGGCTGGGTCTGAAGCAAACAGAGATGTTCAGTTGGCCTGCCGTTCTTGTCCCACTCCTTTTCAGTCCCCTGTAGTCTTCTGTGCCTCAGAGCAAGGCCTGATCTCCAGGGAGGTGAACTGTCACCCCAAGGAAGGACACGCCACCCTTCCTGCCTCATACACCTAGATCCCCCCTCCCACTGCTCCTGGATTCAGAGCGTGGACTCTGAGGGCTGGCGGGGGTTCCTGTCCCAAACCATGGGGGTGATACTGGCCACCTCTGTGTGAACTCGGGGGTATGGGTGGCCTGTGTCAGTGCCCAGGATGTGTGAGTGCGGGGGAGAGATGTGGGCAGATGATGGCATATGCGTGCTGGTGTGTGTGCTGGTGTGAAGGAGTGTGTGTTGTGTGTCTGGAGTGCTAAGGGAGTGGGGGGCAGGGTGAGGCATCCTGTAATATGGGTGAGGAGTAGGTATGCAATGGGTTCAGTGTTTGAAGTCTGTGAGGGCATGTGAGTATGTGGTGTGGAGATTTGGGTACATGGGGAATGGATGTCTGAGGCCGTATGAGAGACAGAGCGCCGCAGGTCTGCTTCTTTCTGGGGTATCTGAGGGATGACACATTATTGTGTGATGAGGTTCGGAAGGCTGAGGCATTTGCGTGAGCCCAGACGAGGTGTGTAGTGTGGCAGAGATAATGGGCATGTGGGCTGGAAGGGGCGATGACAGAAAAGAACTAGAATATGAGCGTGCAGAGTGTGTGCGGTAAGTGGGTCTATCCTCCCTCACCTGTTGGTGGGCATTAATTTGCCCTCAAAGTTGAGGAACCTGAGGCTCAAAACAAGCTGCTTGGGGGCTGGGGATGTAGCTCAGTGGTAGAGTGCTTGCCTAGCATGCACAAGGCCCTGAGTTCAATCCCCAGTACCACCACCAACAAAAAAAAAAAAAAAAAAAAAAAAAAAAAAAAAAAGAAGAAACAAGCAGCTTGGGTCACACAGCAGGAGCTGTTTTACTTCTTTTTAATTAACTGATATTAGTTGCACATATTGATGGGGTTCGGGGTGATAGCTCCGTATAGGTGCAGTGTGCTGTCTCTGGCAGCTCACAGCATAGAAATGGAGGGCTAGGGTGGGAGACCCCCTCCCCCTGTGGCTAGGTGGGTTAAAGCCGGGTCACGTTCCTCTGGTTCCTTAGGGTTACTGTCATGGAGCTGGGTCACACAGGCTCATGAGATTTAACTGCACAGTGAAGGAACATGTTTGTAACCAGCCATTAAACATAGCTGTCCCTAAGAAATTTAAACAACACAAATTTAACATTTACATAAGTTAAAAACATGCTACTAATGCACCTGAAAATGTGCCACTTGCTACTTATTTCCCACCCTTTTCCTCCTCTGCTCTGGGTTGTGCCAGCCGAGCCTGTGAGATGGGGTTGCTGCACATCCCTGCCCTGCTCTGTGCCCCGGTCATGTCACTGTGGGGAGTGTATAAGGTCCCAGAAGTCAGCAAGCACTGCTACAAATTAAGACTGGGTTTATTGTTTTGTTGCTTATCCAGACTTTAAGAAACTGGTGGAAACAAACATTAGCAGTGCAGATTAAGTTTTACAATGTCCTCACTTTGGTAGTTGCTACATTTTAAATAGAACAAAATATTGAAGAAATATTTTCCCAGTATTCACAGCTATCAGTTCAGCGAAGAAGTCGCTCGGATCGCCATGGAGGAATGAGTGAAGTTCTGTCTTTGTTGTTTCACTTTCCTCTTGTTAAGCGAAACAAAAATATCAACCAACAGTTAAGTCAGAACTATACTCACTTGTCATTGCAAGCATAGATTGGCCATAGATAAAGAATTAAATAGAAATTGGGGCTGGGCATTTAGCATTTAGCTCAGGGGTGCCGCACCTGCCCGGCAAGTGTGGTGTCCTGAATTTGATTCCTGGTACCGCACCCCCACAAAAGAGTTAAACAGAAATCAAAGAGTTCATGGATTTATGGGACAATTTGCTGACTAGTAAATAGACACAGTAAAGCATATTGGATATTCCATCAGCATTTATAAATTGTCTGCTATATATCCTTCCTTTAGATCAGTAAAATTTATAGCAAACATATGTGTATGCATACAAACTTTTCCTGAGAGCTAATTGTCACTGTTTAAGCTGGCCTTCAGCACCCAGTAGACCCTATATTACTACCACCCTGACCTGTCTTTTTTTGTAGAAAGGCTGGGGGGAAGAGGGCACCTGCAGAGACACTGGGAGCAGCTTCTCAGGTTGTCACTAGTTGGGCTGTGACCTCCTCCTGGGAAGGAGCAGCAGGGCGTACGTGGGGATCCCATTCTTTCATCACTTGTAATTAAGGCTCTCCTTGTGAAAGGCAGCAGGGACTGAAGGTAGAGAGAAAACATGGTCACTGCCTCCAAGGAGCTCACAACCCAGCAGTGGAGGCACCAGTCAAGTCAGGCCTGCCCTGCAGAGCATGGGGGCAGAAGGAGGCCTAGCTGAGGCAAGAGCAGGCCAGGATGAGAGGAGCTTGCCTGATGAATGGTGCTGATCACCATTCCACACGTAGCATGCCTAGGATGTGGATTTAAAATGCAGAGATCCTTTTTTGGGAGGTCCAGGCAGAGTGAGTGGTTCTTGAGAATCTACATATGCAAGGGAACACTTGGGGAAACACTGATCCGGGGAGACAAGGAGGGTATGTGCAGAGGCAGAAAGCCAGGGAAGGTAACATTGTTGAGGGAGACCTGCCAGGAGAGTTTGGGGGTGGCCGGCTGCCATCAGCAACGATCACAGTGGTTAGCAGTCATGGAGCCACTCCTGGCTCTGCCACCAACTTGCCATGTGACCTTTGGCCAATCACATTCCACTCTGAGCCTCAGCTTCTGAAAATAAGGTTGGACAAGACCAGTGATTTTCAAAAGACATTTGGAGCCCCACGGTCATCTAGAAATTTCTCTAAGGAAGCATTGTTATAGAACTCCAACTTGATCCAGAGCTTCTTGCTTTAGTGTTTTCTGTTGTTTTCCATGAAAGAATGTGCTGCAACTGAAAACTAGCAGGCCAGAGAATCCCTGAGACTGCTGTCTATGCTTGGGCCTATGAATCCTGGTCAGCATAGATGCTGACAGAGAATAGAGAAAGTGGATATCCTCGTTACAGATGCCATGTGAACCTCTGAGTCCATTTCCAACATGTTGGAGTTATGGTTATGTCCCAGTTATGTAGGACTTGTCTCTGCCTGATCATGGGTGATTTCAGCAGTGGATGGAGCTCACTTTGTGGTCTCCACCTGCCTGGTAGGCCCAACCGCAACCCTGTGTTCCTCCACTTAGCCCAAGGCAAGCACAGGGTGAGGCTGCCTTTGAAGTGACAGATCACCTCCCTGTTCCTCGATGCTCTCTCTCTTGTGTCTACAAAGGCAGAATAGGGATTCTCTGAACAGGACATCACATACTTAGCTCTTCCTCAGGCTTGGTGTTGGTGATGAGGCCGTCTGTGTGTGGGAGGACTTGGCAGGTGGTGCCCCAGCTGCCCTCCAGCCCTGCAGAGCTTCTCTCAAGCCTCCCTGGCAGTGGGCACTGTCAATGAGCTAAGGCCAGGCAGGGTTGGACCACTCTGTGTGTGTTGTGTTGTGGGGAGGGAGGGAGATGGAGGGTCCCCAGGATGGGAGAAGACACACCCATGCCCTTCTGAAGGAGCGATACCCGCTCCCCTCCCTCAGGCTGGGCCTCCAAGTTGGGAAAGAGCCCCCCATCACCTTGCCCTGGGATCCTGTGGTGAGGAAGGAGGATGAAGGAAGTCAGCTCAGAGCAGCCACTGGGCATGCTGGTTTGGCCTCTGCCCCAGCAGTCCAGCACATGTCCAACATTGGACGCACCCATTGCTGGGAAGGTTGTACTGCCCTCCCCACCTGTTAAGGGATCCCCTAACCCCAAAGTAGGCCACATTGGGCTGCAGGACCCCACGCTGAAAGGTAGAGCTTTGGGGAAGCTCCAGAATCCCCCAAACTCTTACTCCCTCAGAATAGTTTGGATGGAAGTCTCAGGAGAAGTGACCTCACCCTGTCACCTCCTCAGGTAGGGTTCAGAAGATGGTTCCAAAACTCCCAAGGAAAGACTCTCTCCCTGTAGTCTTTCCCCATTCCCCCTCCTCTGGGTTCTCATTTTCAGGACCTCAGAGGCTGCCACCTGTCCTCACCTGGCAGGGAGGTTGGATGGGGGCAAGGTGACGACTCTCGGTGTTTCCTGACAACAGGCCGGGGGAATCGAGCACCAATGTGAAGCTGAAGAGAGTCCTGGAGACAGGGGGCGGTGAGACCGAATCTGTCCAGGCCATACCTGTGGCCGGGGTGTGGCCCTGGGCCTGGGGAGGGTCGCTGTTTGAGCGGAGGATGCAGCTTTATAAAATGACTCCGTAAGTATGGCCTGGGCAGGTGGGGCCGCAGGCCCCCACTGCCCCATGTGGGACTGTGGGTGTGGACCAGGAGCCACCTGCAGCATGGGGAGACCCTGCAGCACACAGGGGGGAACCTGCAGAAGATGGGTGGCCCTGGTCCCAGGAAGAAGCCATTGTTTGGGCTGAGGCAGAGCAGTGGCTGACTCTTGGCCTCTGGGGAGTCCAGGTTGCCCTCTGAAGCCTGTGGAGGGCCCTCTCCCTGATGTCCTAGGCTGATGATGGCAAACCTTCTATAGCTTTCAATGATATAAAGAGCCCACTGGGGGCATGCATGCCATAGGTTCACCACCATTGTCCTAGGCCATAAGCTGAGCCTTCCCCAGGAAGTGTGTGTGTGTGTGTGTGTGTGTGTGTGTGTGTGTGCGTGCATGTGAGGGGCTTGGTCTCTGCTGCTGGCTGTAAGTTGGCTTTCTGCCCCCAGTGAGAGCCCTCTGAACTCAGCAGCCCAGGAGGATGGCCCCGAATTCTCATAGGCAACAAGGCTCTAGAATAGTGATCAGCGTCATGAGGACCACTGGGAATGTTTTGAAAAATACATACTCTCCAGCCCCGCCCCCATAGAGTAAGGGTGGTGTCCAGGAACCTATGCTTTAAAGCTGTCCAGGTTGTTCTAGTGGGTGGCGCACCCTGGGCCAGCCCTACTGTTTGTATGTGGAAGCACGGTTGTCTGCCTGCAGTGCCATCACTGGACATTCATACTTTGGCTTTAGAAGATGTTCTAGTCACCTGGTCTCTTGTATCAGGAAGAGACCCAGCTGCCTTTTCAAAAATGCCTTCCTGAGGCTTTGGAGAGAAAGAATGGTGCATAGGGTAGACCCCTGAGGGAGGAAGACTCAGAAAGGGGAGGACGTGAACATCATGTACAAGGTACTGCTGCAGAGGCACAGTGTCCGGATCCACTGAGACTGTGACTCTCTTAACTCACCGAGAGAACCTGGGTCCACACCAGCCATTCCTGTCCCTGTTCAGCCATGAGGATGAGCCTGACTCCCCTTCAGGGACACGCGATCATGTTTTCAAGAGGACTCCGGGAGATGAGCTTGTCCAAATATCATTAGGAAATCTCTTCAGTGGAGTTCCTTTTCAGCATTTTAAGTGTTTTCTTAAAAAAAAAAAAAAAAAAAATCATTTTAAGTGTTTTCTTAAAAAAAAAAAAAAAAAAGAATCTACTTAATTCAAAATGACCTTTACAAAAAGATAAAGTAAATGACCTTTAGAGGCCTCAAAACTTACTAAATTAGCATGAAGGCAACACAGTCAAGTCACTGGCTCTCCAATTCCAGAGTGGACGCTGGTGTTGGAGGTGGGCTGGGTGGGTTTATTTCCTGGGGCCTCAAGTTCATGTCTCCCAGGACTGCACATGTCCATGCCTCCTGGCTGGAGAACATCCCGAGGTGCTCACTCGACCCAGTTTGCTTAGTCATTTCCCAAGTGCTGAGCCTTTGGGTTCTTTCCAACTTCTTGCTATTATAAATATCATGGCTATGAATATCTCTGTACAAATTACTTTCTTAGTATTTTACTGGGAAGCATTCCCCAAGTGGTATTACTAGGTCAAAGGGTATGAGCAATTTTGTAGTTCTTGTCATATATTACTAGATAGTTCTCCAGAAATATTAAATCCATTTACCATGACACCAATTATACATGGCAGTCCCTACCACCCTCCAACATCAAGGTTCATCATTTTTCTTTGTTTTGTATTGTTTTATTTTTTCCCCTCATTTTGCCATATTAGTCAGGAGTGGTGCCATAGAGTTGTTTTGTGTGTATTGTTGGACATTCTCTGAAGGCACTTGGGAAGCTTATGGACATCGTGTGTCTTGCACAGATTATGGTGGGTTTGGTCCAGGGTCCTGAGTCAGAGCTGAACCAGGCCTGAGAAATCAGTAGTTCTGAGTTTCTAGACTTACTCAGTCCTCAACAATAGGACAGCAGGCACACTAGGGGCTCCATTTCAAATGTTCTGAGCTCAAGGGATGAATGTGGGTTTAAAACAGCATTGCTTGTCCTGGGTAGAAGACTGAGATGAAGTGGAGAGCGAAGTTTGATAAGCTGTGCTTGAGCTCCACTGGGGCCTACACAGCCACCTGCTCGGCTGTAGTGTTGTGAGTGCATACATTACCAGGTTGTGCTTGTGGCTGCAGCTGTGGGAACAAACCTTTTCATCCTAATGACATCAGAGTGACTCCAAGAATTTATTGAATACATTCAAACTAGGGCTCTGATGGTGGCCAGGAAGACCAGCCTACGTAAGGTTGGTTGTCTGAGCCCTTGTGTCTCGCCTGCAGTCTAAGCATGGAGAGTTGTAAGGTGCTAGGGAACATTGATTTAAGAAGGAGTACAAGACGATGGCCTGCAGATGAAGAGAGAGAGGGCTCACCAGTGACATCAGACAGAGACAGTAAGGTTTAGGGACACAAAACCCACTGATGGAACCTGGGTGCCAGGCTGTTGCAGGGAGGCTAAGGGTCCTCCTGGGATCTCAACAGATAGGCCGGATGAGCAAGGAAAATAAGTCAGGGAGGGACAAACTAGCAAAGCGTGGAAGTCAGCAGCTTAAATCATGGTGTCAAAAGACACAGCAAACTTGAGAGCAGATATGGGTACTCAAATGCATTCTGTATAGAATGGAACAGTAGGTTGATTTGTGTGACCAAGGGGAGTCTTGTGAGCCCAGTGCCAGGCGCCTGTCCATATCGAAGCAGGTCCTTGGGAGAAATGGAGGACACAGAGTCAGTGTATATATGCCCAGCCTCTTGGAGGAGAACTGACAGAAGCTGGATGGAACTGTAGCTGTGGTGTACATGTGGCCCTGGACTTGGCAGGACTGCTGGCTGCAGAGGGCAGGCTAGGCCCATGGACATCAGGCTTAGGGTGAGGTATGCATGTTGCTGGACTGACACGTGTCTTGAGCTCAGCAAGGTCCTCTAGGCCTTGCACAGGAAGAAAATCTCCTTTTCTTCTCATTTTCAGCATTCTGCTCATGATGCTGGGGCTTGGGTGGGGCTGCCACAGGTGGCAATGACAGCTGGACCATAGCAGGTGACCAGGGTCCCCAAATGACCACTGCATGGAGTTGAGAAGGGGTTTGGAACCGTGATTGTAGCTCAGTGGCACAAGTGCCTGCCTGGCAAGCCCAAGGTCCTGAGTTAGATTCCTGGTAGTAAAACAAAACAAACAAACAAAAAAACCATGCTGAGAAGGGGTTTGGTGCATAAGTATAAACCTTAGATTCGGATAGGCCTGGCCTGATGCTGACACGGTACCTTACTGTGTGACTTCTAACAACTCCTGAGTTGCAGCTTTGTCTTCTGTAAAACGGGGGTGTTCATACCACCTTATAGGGTAGTTGAGAAAATTAAGTGAGACATTAATGTGTGAAAGTGCTTAGCACAGATAGTTTCTGCTCAGTTCACCCCCGTTTTCTTCTTTTTGCTCTCCTAGTATGCAGCAGGGTTGAATGCATCCACAGGCTCAGGTAGGCCTCCACCGTAGGCCGGGAGGGCCACAGGGTGCGGACATGGGAGTGGGAATGGAAGAAGGGGCAGCATAGTCTCTGGTAAGCCCAGGAGCACAGCTAGACTAGAATCTCAGCTTCTGAGTTAATCGAATCTGGGGTACCGGTAAATTTAGCCTGGTGGGTGAATCTAGCGTGGCAAGATTTGAGCCTTGATTTTCTTTTCTGAAAAATTAATACCTCATCCCGGAGTTGTATACAAACTAGGGATAATATAGAGAGAGTACCTAGCACAACTCTTGCACATAGTAGGAGGTCGACACGTGTGACAGTGTGGTTTCTGTGGATATGAATACTTTCGATGCCCTCAGAATCATAACCACTGTGAAGGGCCTCTCTTTATGACCCCAGGGTTTAGCTTGGGGCCCAACACACACACAGAAACAGGCGTGAGCATGGCTGCCGGGGCTTGGATAGGCCCAGTCTGCAGCTCCTATCATGTCATCCTAGAGTTAGCTGGGAAGGAAGGGGCCCAACAAGGCTGCTGTGCAGGCCCCTGGGACTGCAGGGGCTCCAGAGAGAACTGTCACAGGCAGACTAGGCACTCAGAAGTGTTCTCCGGGAGAGGCAAGTGCCAGCAGGTCTTCTCAAGCACTGAGTGAGGTGCCACTCAGCATGTACAAAGGGTGCTGCTTCTGGGTTCAGTCCCTCGACAGATCAGCTGCTTGTACCCTGGGCCTGATCCTAGACCTAATTAGGTACTGTGCTAGGGACTGGATGATGGGCCTTGTCCTTCTTGGGGGGCCATGCAGAGGGGACACACAGCCCAGGGAAAGGGTCACAGCTGCTTCTGGCTTTCTCTGGCAATCTCCTGAAGCCATGAGCTCAGCACCTGCTTGGAGTGCCATCACTCTAGAGCTACAGTCCAGGGTTCTGAATGCCAGTTCATGACGTGCGGTCTCCTGCAGACTGCTCTTGTGCCTCTGGCGTTGTACAGAATCAGCCCTGCAACCTGGGCCACAGAGCTTGCACCTAAGGGGTGTGCAGTGACTTCTGGTGTTTGAGGACGTGGGCAGGACTTACACAAGCACTTAGAAGCAGGGTGAAGCCGCCTGCGCAAGCTTGGTTCCTGCCACGTGTGCAGTCCCTCCACTCTGCAAATGGCCTCTAGTCCCTGTCACCCAGTCCCTGTCATCTGTCTGGACCTGTGTGCATCCTCAGAGCGGCCAGTGCAACCCACTACCTCCTCCAGATGCACAGATGCACACGCACACAGCCATCACCAAGTGACGAGGGGACTTCCCTCTGGCTTCATCTCTGAGCTCCACTCTGTACCTCTCACTCCCACCGTCTGCTCTACCCTTCCTGATCTGCTCCCGTCCTTCCAGAGTCTGGCCTTACCCCACAAGTCTGACACTTACTAGGTCCAGCCGCTCCGGCTCCGACCTCCAGCTCCTCTCCCCACCACATTATGTAATAACTAATGAGGGCGTTGCTGCCCAGCTCTGCCCCAGCTCCCGTTCTTGTGTGGTCAGTATCAGGGGAGCTCTTCCAGGGAGACTGAAGCCTTGGGTATGGGCCCTGGCCCCCCTCACTCAGCCATGTGAGCTCCGCAAGTCCTTCTGCCCTTTGAAACCTGTTTCCTGACCTGTAAAATGGAAATAATAGCATCTTCTCTATAGGGCTTCCACAAAAGTCAAATGAGACCTGTATGTGTGGCTTTTAGCATGGCATTTGGCAGGTGGTAAACATCTAATTAATGTTGGTTAGTGATGTTATTTTGTACCTAATATTTGGAATGGATAAATTTCACTTATGTTCTCACTCAGCGGATGCTAACTGAGCTTTTAGTCTGTCCCAGGCCCTGTGCTAAGCGCAGTAGGAGCACAGCGGTAAAAACCCTGTTCTGGAGGAGCTCGGCTTCTCCTGGTCTCCACAGCCACAGGAGTCCTGACTGTCCGCCACCTCTGTCATCCACTGCTGCACTCTGCCCTGAGGCAGTCTCCCACCCACAGCCTCAGCCTCAGCCCCGCAGGCTCAGGACTCACTGAATCTCCCTCTCCTGGCTCACCCTCCCGCCACCTCCAGCCAGGCTTTTCCACTCACCTGGAATGTGGCATCTTGCGGACGCAAACCTAGCTGTAGTCTGTTCAGGCTGCTATGACCAAGTACGATGCACTTGGTGGTTCATAATCACCAGACACATTTCTCACACAGTTCTGGAGGCTGGAAGTCTGAGATCAAGGTGGGAGCGTGACGAGGTCTGGTGAGGGCCCTCTTCCAAGTCACAGGTGATCTGCTTCTCCTTGACTCCTTGCATAGCAGAAAAAGAGGAAAAGAACTCCCTGGAGTCCTTTTATAGGGCCGCTAATCCCATTCAGGAAGTTCTACCCTCAGGCCCTAATCACCGTCCGAAGGCCCCACTTCCTAATACCACCCTATTAGGAGTTAGGGTTTGGATGTGGGGCTTCGGTGGTGGCAGAGGGGAGCGCAAACATTGAGTCCCTTGCACCTGGCGCATCCGAACTGGAGCTCACAGGCCCAAGTCATCTCTTAAACTCCTGCTCCTGTTGGGCTGCCCGCAGAGTCCCTGGCCACCCTTGGCTCCCTCAAATGTGCAGCTGCGCCGCCATCGTTGTTGGCACCACTTACAGAACACTTACCCGTGCCAAACACTGTTCTAAAGGCTTTCACTTAGTAAGTCCCACGGTCCCTGGACACCCATAAGAAGTAGTTTGCAAATAAGAAACAGCCTACGATGAGAGCTTGCTGGTGGCAGAGCCAGGCGGTCTGGCCTCGGCGGCAGTCTCCATCGGCGGTGCTTGTCTGTTCCGGTGGCTCTTGCCTGAGTCCCTGGGCCTCTTGTACATTCACGCTGGCAACTTCACTGCCATATCCAGCCCGTGCTGGCCCGGATTATTGAAAAGCCCACTCAAGGGCACCTCTGCTTCCCTCTCGCTTCACCGTGACCCTGCTCCTAGGGCACCTGTGGTCGCCTCCCTCCTAAGCTCATCCCGTGCCGTTTCCCCACTGCCATCACCCTTCTTTCGTTTCTCACTGTTAAGAGCTTCAAGACCAATGCTCAGCCTGGCCTTGTCCCAGACTGACTTCGCTGGCCTTAAATAACCTCTCCAAGTCCCCGCTTCCTCCTACGCATTTCCTCTACTACAGGACCAGCCATACCATCCACCTCAGCACCAACTAGCCTTCTGTAGCTCTCCTACCTTTATTAAATTAAATTCTGTAGCCCCACCTACCTTTATTAAATGCTGTGTCCTTAAGTCACCAGCCTCAAATGCCACCTGTGCTACAGAGTCCTGCGTGGTTGTCATCAGACTGCGTTGCTCTTTCCCCTGCACTCTGATGCCGCCTTCATCCCTGGCTGGGCTGACTTTATGCCACCTGACATTATCATCTGTTGTGTCTGCCTTCATCAGTGTCCTCCAGTAACCTTGATCGTCACAGTCTGGTGCCATGTCTCAGAACCCCGGTAATGACAGGGCTGGATGCAGCAAGAGCCTGGATACAGAAGCGAGCAGAGCCAGCCTATGAGGTCTCTTGGCCACTTAGGGCAGGAAAGGTCCAAGTTCTTTCCGTGCGCCCGTCTTTTCCTGCTAAAGAAACCAGATATGGGGACGGATTCCTGAACTGAGGCTGAGTTAGAAGGGCCACTAGAGGTCATCTGCATTCATCTTTTCACTTCAAAATATTGGGCAGAGATCCAGAAAGGCAGAAAGACTAGCCCAAGATCACTCAGAGCTGGTTTTGAAATTTGGTATTATTGTTTTCATTCGTTTTTCTCTTTAAAAAAAAAAAAATTAAAAAGATGGCTCAGCAGGGAGAAGTTGTGGCTAGAATGCAGCCTTCTGGCTTCTAGCCCAGGGTACTTTCTGCTCCATTGAACCATTTTGTCTTTTCTTGGCTCATTCTCTACCTAAACTACCTACTGCAGTCACAACAGCTACTCAAGCAGAACATCAGCCACCAGGGTTACAGCTCTGAATGTTTCTGTATTCTTCTCCAGATAACCACTTGACAAATTCTTTTGTACTTTTGGCATGACAATTTTGTAATCTCATTTTCTTTCATATTCTTAGTAACTTTTTGCAATTAACATTTAAATTCTTTTTTGTTTGTTTGTTTGTTTGGTATCAGGAGTCGAACTCAGGACCTTATGCTTGCCAGGCAGGTGCTTGTGCCACTGAGCTATAGATCCCTGGCTAACATCTAAATTCTTATAGACAAATTCTTTTTTAAAAATGTTCTCTGTTTTATTTTACTTTATTAGTACATGTTTCTAATTCACGTAGTTTACAATCATCGTGGGGAATGACTATATGTACATATTACAGCTTTATTAAAAATCTCACTCCCCTTCTGCCCCCCTCCCAGTTCCTCCTCTGGTTCCCCAATCACCTTTTTCATACTTGTTGGTAATATTTCTTCTAGCACAAGTTATGCATTATAATGTTCACATCGATTAGGGTTATTAGGTCCCAGTACTTGTTATATCTTTCTGCCTCTCATCCCCGCCGGTCCCCCCTCTCCTTGTTCTCTTGGACCCTTTCCCTACTGGAAGAGATCTGTCCCCTTGTCCCTTTCTGTCAATTTTTTTTTTATCATTTTCTTTGTACTTTGCCTCACTCAAATGAGGGATACTGTGTGATATTCAAACTTGAGTGTCTGCTTTATTTCACTCAACATTATGTTTTCCAGATGCATCCATTTTCTACATATGCCTCAAATTTGTCCTTCTTGATAGCCAAGTGGTATTCATCATATATTACATATTCCATTATATGTCACTATATAACACTGTATATTCCATTATATATCACATTTTGCTTATTCAGTCATCTGGGTACACAGGCTGCTTCCAAAATTTAGGTATTATGAATAATATAATACTGTAAACGTTGGCACTATAAACATTGGTATACAATTATCACTTTTGTATGTTGACTTTAGCTCTCTGGAGAAGATATCTAGCAGGGGATAGCTGGGTTGTATGGAATCTCTAGTTTTAATTCTTGGAGAAATCTCCATACTGACTTCTACAATGGTTGTACTAGTTTGCATTCCCACCAGCAATGTAGGAGAGTTCCTTTTTTACCACAGCCACATGGGATTTGTTTTTGTTTGATTTCTTAATGATTGCCATTCTCTTCTGAGTAAGATGGAATCTTAGCATTGCTTTAAATTGCATTTCTCTAATGGCCAGAGATGTGGAGCATTTTTCCATATATTTGTTGACCATTTGTATTTCTTTCTCTATGAAGTATCTGTTCATTTCTTTAGTCCATTTCGTGACTGGGTCTTCAATTTTAGGTGGTTTAATTTTTTTGAGTTCTTGGTATATGCTAGATAATAGTCTTTTGTCTGAGGAGTAGCTGGTAAAAATTTTCCCCCATTCTGTAGATTGTCTTTTTGCTCTACTGATTGAATCTTTTGCTGTACAAAAGGTCTTTAGTCTGATATAATCCCATTTGTTGATTCTTGCTACTTCCTGTGTGACTGAAGTTCTGTTTAGAAAATCCCTTCCTACTCCTATATCTTCAAGAGTTTTACCTATTTTGTCTTCCAGAAGTTTAATATTTCTGTTTTAATGTTTAGATCTGCAATCCATTTTGATTTTAACTTAGTATATGGTGAGAGATAAGGGCCTAGTTTCTTTCTTCTACAAATGGATAACCAGTTTTCCCAGTACCACTTGTTGAATAGGCTATCTTTTTTCCAGCATATGTTTGTGGACCCTTTGTCAAAGATCACATAGTTGAATATGTCTGGGGAGGTTTCTATAACCTCAACTCTGTTCCATTGCTCCATGTGTCTGCTTTTCTTCCAGTACTATGCCATCTTTATCACTATTGCTTTGAAGTATAGTTTGAAGTCTGCTATTGCTATTTCACCTGCTTTGTTGTTACTGCCCTGAGTTACTTTTGCTATTCGGGGTCTCTTCTGGTTGCATATGAATTTTAGGATTGTTTTCTCTAGAGCTGTAAAGTATGCTGTTGGTATTTTGACTGGTACTGCATTGAATCTGTATCACAGTTTTGGAAGTATGGCCATTTTGACAATAGTGGTTCTGCCTAACAAGGAGCAAGGGACATCTTTCCATTTTCTGATGTCCTCTCAGTTTCCTTTTTCAGAATACTCTAGTTTTTTTTTTTTGTAGAGATCTTTCACTTCTTTGCTTAGGTTAATTCCTAAGTATTTAATTTTTCTTGAAGTGACTGTGAATGGTGTTGTTCTTATAATTTCCTTCTCATCCCATTCATTGTTGGTATACACAAAAGCTAATGATTTTTGTGTGTTGACCTTGTATTCTGCTACTTTGCTGAAGTTGGTTATTAATTCTAAAAGTTTTTTGGTGGAGTTCTTCGGGTTTTCCATGTAGAATATCATGGCATCTGAAAATAGTGATAATTGGAGTTCTTCCTGTCCTATATGTATCCCTTTTATTTTTTTCTCTTCCTTAATTGCTTTGGCTTATGTTTCAATTACTGTGTTGAATAACAGAGGTGATAGTGAACATCCTGGTCCTGTTCCTGATTTTAGGGGAAATGCTTTTATTTTTTCCCCATTTAGTATGATGCTGGCTATTTGTTTGTTATAGATAGCCCTTACTATATTCAGTTATGGTCTTTCTATACCTGTTTTCTCAGGGCTTTTGTCATGAAGAGCTGTTGGATTTTGTTGAAAGCCTTTTCTGCAGCTATTGATATGATCACGTGGTTTTTGACTTTGCTTCTGTTTATATGATGTATTACATTTATAGTCTTAATGCATATTGAACCATCCTTCCATCTCTGTGGTGAAACCTACTTGATCATGGTGTATCAGCTTTTTGAAAATATGCTGCACTCTATTTGCTAATATCTTGTTGAGGATTTTTGCACCTATGTTCTTAAAGAGGTTGGCCTATAGTTCTTTTAGTTGGGTCTTTATCCAGTTTTGGGATCAGGGTGAAAGTGGCTTCCATAAATGAATTTGGGAGCACTCCATCCATTTTAATTTCTTTGAACAGCTTGAGAAGTAGTGGTGATACAATATCCTTAGAGGTTTTGTAGAATTCAGCCATGAATCCATCAGGTCCTGGGCTTTTTTTTTCGTTTGTAGATTCTTTATTACTCAGTCAATTTCTTTGCTTGTAATTGAGTTGTTAAGTGTATTTATGTCTTCTTGAGTTAACTTTGGTAGTTTGTGTGTCTAGAAATCTGTCAGTTTCTTCAGTGTTTACTAATTTGTTGGAATATAACTTTTCAAAGTAGTTACTAATTATCTTCTAGATTTCTACAATGTCTGTGTGATTTCACCTTTGTCATTTCTAATGGTATTTATGTGAGTCTTTTTTCTTTCTTTTTTTAGTGAATCTTGCTAAGCTTTGTCTGTTTTATTTATTCTTTCAAAGAACTATCTCTTTGCTTCATTGATTTTTTTTTTTTTTTACAGATTTTTTAGTGTCAATTTCATTAATTTCCACTCTCATCTTTATAATTTTCCTTTTTAGTTTCAGCTTGGGGATGGTTTGTTGTTGTTTCTCAAATATCTTGAGATTTCTCATAAGGTTATTTGAGCTTGCTCTGCTTTCTTAATGTGAGCACTGATTGCAATGAATTTTCCTCTTAGAACTGCCTTCAAAGTGTCCCAAAGTTTTCATTGAGTTGTACAGTCATTGTCATTAACTTCCATAAATTTTTAACTTTCTTCTTTCATTTCTTTTGTGACCCATTGCTTGCTTAGGAGTATGTTGCTAATTTTCTGGGGGCTTTTTCCTTTCCCAGGTTTTCTTCTGTACTTGATTTCTATTTTCATTGCATAGTGGTCAGATAGTATGCATGA